ACCTTAGTCTTCAGAGCAGCATCTTTGTTCTTCAACACTTTGTAGAGGTATTTTGCAGCAGATTTGCCCAATGCAATACATCATCTGATTTCTTGACTGCTGCTTCCATGGGGGTTGATTGTGGATCCAACTAAAATGAAATTGTTGACAACTTCAATCTTTTCTCCATTTATCGTGATGCTGCTTATTGGTCTGGTTGTGAGGATTTTCATTTTCTTTATGTTGAGGTGTAATCCATACTGCAGACTGTGGTCTTAATCTTCACTAGTAAGTGCTTCAAGTCATCTTCACTTTCAGCAAGCAATGTTGTGTCATCTGCATTTCACAGGTTGTTAATGAGCCTTCCCCCAATCCTGATGCCATCTTCTTCTTCCTATAGTTCAGCTTCTCAGATTATTTGCTCAGTGTACAGATTGAATAAGTAGTGAAAGGATACAGCCCTGACACACAGCCTTCCTGATTTTAAACCATTAATATCCCCTTGTTTTGTCATGGTCTGTGTACAGACAGGTTCCTCATGAGCACAATTTAACGTTCTGGAATTCCTGTTCTTTGCAATGTTATCTATAATTTGTTATAATCTACACAGTTGAATGCTTTTGCATCATCAATAATACACAACTAAACATCTCATCTTTCTGATATCCTTTGCTTTCTGCCAAGATCCATCTGACATCAGCAATGATATCCCGTGAAGAAAAAGTATAAGTGCTTATTTAACAGAGCTCTGGTAGAGTACTGCCCAAGGCACTTGACTGCTAACCAGAAGGTTGGCGGTTCTAACCCACCAGCTACTCCTTGGAAGGAAGGTTGGGCAATCTACTTCCGTAGAGATAGCACCTAGGAAACCCAAGGATGGGTCGCTATGAGTCAGGGGCGACTCGACGGCACAAAACAACAACAACAACAATGGTTTTAGAAAGCTTGTCTGACCCATCTGAACTGTGGCTTTTCATGGGGTGCTGTTGATTAGAGTGGACCTTCACCACAAAGTCTCAGACCAAGTTTTATGCACCTGATAATACTTGTAATACAGATGGGAGGCTGGATGATTTTGAGAAGAAGGTGGTCTGTGTTTGATTCTTTGGCATCAGGACAGAAGGTCCATTATTTATATGTTATTATGATACTCTTGTTCATGGCAGTTTCCATTGGCATTACCTCTTTGTCCAGGACTTACTAAGGACAATTTAGAAATGCCTCTTTCTCTTGGGAGAGTATGTAGCATTTCTAGGTGTCTTTGCTTGGTTTTGCTTTGCTTTCATTCACGACTTACCCATCTCTCTGTTAAATTACTAGGCAAATTACTGTGTGCTTTCTGACCCCACTCTCACCCTAAGTAAATCAAGCACATAATTAAAATAAACTGTCACCAGGTTATGACCTTTTGCATTCCTATATGTGTGGCTGAGGGGAGATGAGCATGTTTCTTTTAATAATGCTTTATTGCAATAAAAATTCATTATTGTAACAGACTACACATAATTATTAACTAATATTGTTAGTCATGATTTTGAAAAATACAGTACACTTTTCTAGCAAGTTATGGTGATGCAAAAGTTTATGTATAATTAGATACTTTATTTACTCATTTTCAATTGTTATCAATCCTTTTTTAATCTAATTATTGGTTTCCTAGACTTGAATGGAACACTTTTTGCGATCATCCTAAATATGTTATTTGGGAACTAAAAGTCATTCTCTTTGTGTTTTGTCACATGACAAAGGCCCTGTAGCTTTTATTTTCTCTCTAAACTCAGAGAAATGTAGCCACCTACTTGCATTCAATAAAAGAAGCACTAAGCATTGGTCCATCCTCTACTCCTAGAGGTTTTACCAGAGGTTCAGTTGGCTTTGCTGTCCTTTCATGTCTTCAGAGTTTGCCAATCCATGAATAAAAGCAGCCAAGAAAGAACTAAAACCACACTAGCCAGGGGGACTCTGACGGGTCTTGTTCTGGTGAGAAGTTCCTCCTCCTTGACTTCTTTCTGAAACCAGAACCCTTCATTGTCACATTTGTGTTGACTATTGCCTTCACAACAAACTCACAAGCTTAAGGACCAAACTTGCTTCTGACCTTCACCTTTCGTTTAAAAGAGTTAATTAATGAGTTAAAAGAGGACTCTGAGTGGCACAGAAGGTTGGTGGTTCGAACCCACTTAATGGTACCTTGGAAGAAATGACTGGCTATCTGCTTCTGTAAAGATTACAGCCAAGAAAATCCTAAAGAGCAGCTCTGCTCTCTAAAACTTAAGGTTGCCGTGAGTTGGAATCAACTTAGTGGCAATAGGTTTGGTTTTGGTTTTTTCATTAGCTGAAAAAAAAAAAAAAAAAAATCATAGTTTTACTACAACTTAACTTCCTAAAACACATTTAATCCAAGTTTTACTAACTTTACCCTAGTCCTCACAATAATTTTCAGCAGGAGCTCTGGTAGCATAGTGGCTAAAGCACTTGACTGCTAACCAGAAGGCTGGTGGTTCAAACCCACCATCCACTCCTCGGAAGGAAGGTTGGGCAATCCTACTTCCGTAGTGATACTGCCTCAGAAACCCAAGGAGGGGTGGCTATGAGTCGGGCCGACGAGGGCAAATAACAACAACAACAACAACAATTACTGTGTAGGCACTCTGGTGGCATTCAAGTGCTAACCAAAAGATCAGCAGTTTGAACCCTCCAGCTACTCTGCAGGACAAAAGATGAGGCAGTCCGCTTCTGTAAAGATTTATAGCCTTGGAAACCCACTGGGCAGTTCTGTCTGTCCTATAGGGTCGCTGTGACCCAGAATTGACTCTGTAGCAGTGAGTTTGGTTGGTTTGGAATTGTCATGTGGCACCCACCCACCCAGGCTCTTTAGCATAAGACAGAAAGAGAGGGACTCTGTCTAGGCATAGATGGGAAAGTGACAAATAAAAGTGGTGTCAAAACAAATTTTTAAAGCTGGCAAATTTTGAAGAATGGTGATGGAGACACATAGCCAGGAGAAAAACTCCGCTGCAAGGTACACAAATTAAAGCCCCGCATACACTATTGCTTTTGACAAAAGCACAACAAATTAACTTACCTTAGTGCTGGTAGCATAGTGGCTAAAGCACTTGACTGCTAACCAGAAGGCTGGCGGTTCAAACCCACCAGCCACTCCTCGGAAGGAAGGTTGGGCAATCCTACTTCCATAGTGATACTGCCTCGGAAACCCAAGGAGGGGTCACTATGAGTCGGGGCTGACTCGACGGCACATAACAACAACAACAACAGTGCTGTTTCAAAGCACAGTATTTGGTTTGAAGCCCTTCTCAGTTTTTTGACATTGGTCAAATTCTACAACCTGTCTTGAGCCCTAGTTTCCTCATTTGTAACAAAGCACATATCTTCCTTGGAGGGTGATTGTGAGGATTAAATAAAATAATATAAAAATACTGAATGCATACCCGACATACAGTTTTTACTCACTATCTAGTGGCTGCTGATATTATTTCTGCTATTACTGTTGTCTCTGGTTTCAGTTAGTATTTGGGGTTAAACTGCTTAAGTAGTTGACCCTAAGCTGGAGATTAAAATTTGCCATAATGGAAGCACTTCAACCAGGCTATTGTTGTTGGGTGCCATCCACTTGATTCCAACGCAACTGACCATGACCCTACACAGACACAGAACTGCCCTGTAGGGTTTCCAAGTCCTATGGGGCAGTTCTGCTCTGTCCACATAGAGTCTCTGAGTTGGAATCAATTGACAGTGATGGGTTTGGTTTCTTGGCTTAATCTTTATCAAAACAGATTTCTAATCTTTCTCCTGTGGAGCTGCTGGGTAAGTTCAAATCACCAACTATTTGGTTAGCAGCTGAGTGCTTAACTGTTGTGCCACCAGGGCTCCTTTTAATCAGGCTGGGGCTATAATCTGTGGACTATAGATTCTGTGGATTATAGATCTGTGGCAAACAGATTCTGAAGAAATTTCCAGCTGCTATCTATTGATGGCCAAGAGTAGGGTCCAATATTATGATTAAAAAAAAAAAAATAACTCACTGCCATTGAGTTGGATCCAACTCATACCAACCCCTTTTTGGGTTTCTGAGTTGGTATCACTACAGAAGTAGGTTGCCCATTCTTCCTGCTTAGGAGTGGCTGGTGGGTTTGAACCACCAGCCTCTGGTTAGCAAATAGTCTACTTAAATATAATGTGACTGGACCTCTTAAATTTGCATTCATGGAAAAAAGACTCCTCATTTATATCCTCTATGGGCCAGAGAACACCAATTTGTTTTATAGATAAAATAAATCTGAAACAATGTCCATATGCTAATGTTATTGTTGTTATGTGCCGTTGAGTCGGCCCGACTCATAGTGACCCCTCCTTGGGTTTTCAAGGCAGTATCACTACGGAAGTAGGATTGCCCAACCTTCCTTCCGAGGCGTAGCTGGTGGGTTTGAACCGCCAGCCTTCTGGTTAGCAGTCAAGTGCCTTAGGCACTATGCTACCAGAGCTCCTATATGCTAATAGCCATCCAGATATCCAATGGTGTTCTGGATTCTGAGGGGACTCTTAAGTCTTTGAGTAAGATTTCATTTTCACTTGGGCCATTTTCCAGGTAAACATGTTGACCAGCACTTTCTAAGGATTTTCTAAAGAGCTATCAATGACGTTGCTTTTGCTTGTTATGGAAAGTCTTGTCTCACAATTACATTGTCAGCTTTGGGGGAAAAAAAAAATCATTCTGCAGAAACAGAGTCAGCAGCCTAGGCGTGTTTCTCCCTCTCACTTCCTCTCCTCATTACCATGGTTTACACGGCAGAAATGGATTTCTATGCCCATGCTGCTCAGTGAGTCGGTAGTGGAGAAATTCGCCCATCTTCCTCAAACACCTCACCTCTGTAGTAGTCATTGTTTCTGTAACCTAGAAGAAAGGCTGTGCTTTAATTAACAAACTGCTGATTATGTTGTCTAAGAAGCTGCATATTGTGCCAGTAAACTGTTGCCCTTTCTTTTTTTTCCTTTTTCCACAGGACTATTTTTATCCAAGATACTTAGGTGAGTCCAAATCACTACTTTCTTTAGTTGACATAAAGTATAGATAGGAATGTGTGCTTCGTGTGGGAGAACCAATTGGTCAGGATTCCATTACCGAGTTATTCCTGGGAGGAAGATTGCTCAATTACATGGTGAGTTTGGAGATATCCAGAGCACTCAGATCCAGGAAAACTTGTTTGTTTGGTGTGTGCTATAACGATCCATGTTAACTGAACCTCAGTCTGATGCCTACATTTGCAACTTCTTTTCTGTTCTGATTCCACATTTGTATAGAAATATAATTGATTTAACCCAGTGCTTCTCAAACTTTTTTTTATCTCAAGGCTTTTTACACTTCTGAAATTACGGGGAACCCCAAAGAACTTTCGTTTATTTGGGCTGTATTTATTGATATTTGCCATATTACCAATTAAAACGGAGAACATAAAAAACATTTTTTTCACTTAATTTGAAAAACATTGTACAAAAGATTGTATAAGCAAACATTCTGATAGCCATTGGAGCAGTGATGTCATTGCTTGTCAAGTGTTGTTGTTGTTCTATGCCGTCGAGTCAGACTGACTCATAGTGACCCCTCCTTGGGTTTCCGAAGGAGTATCACTACGGAAGTAGATTGCCCCATCTTCCTTCCGAGGAGTGGCTGGTGGGTTTGAACCTCCAGCCTTCTGGTTAGCAGTCAGGTGCCTTAGGCACTATGCCACCAGAGCTCCTTGCTTGTCAAGTAGCCTCTGGAAAACTCCACTGTACACTTGTGAGAGCCCGAGAATGAAAAAGAGTCCCTGGGTAGTGCAAACGGTAATACACTCAAGGTATGAGCCTTCCCAGAAGTGCCTTGGATAAAAGGCCTGGTGGTCTACTTCTGAAAAAATCAGCCATTGCAAACCCTATGGAGCACAATTCTAGTCTGACACATATGAGGTCACATGAGTTGGAGTTGACCCAACATCACTTGGTTTTTATTATCATGAAAATAGATTTGACCTCACTGACTCCCTGAAAGAGGGGCCTGGACTACCCTTTGAGAACCACTAATTAAATTAAAGTTCTTTGGATACATGTTATATGTAATGAAAGAGATATATTCCTAAGTTTTTCTTCTCAATTTTGTAAAGTACATTCGGCAGATTTTCTGTTGACTTTGTATCCTCTCAGAGATACCTTGTCCAAACTCTGACAACAACAAGCAAAATGAATGAGTAATTGGCCCTGAAAAGCCCAGGGGAAATCTGCTTTATGTAGGGAAATGCCAAGCCAAAACCAAACTCACTGCTGTCGGGTTGATCTCGACTCATAGCAACCCCTCCTTGGGTTTCCGAGGTGATGTGTCTACGGAAGTAAATTGCCCAACCTTCCTCCCGAGGAACGGCTGGTGGGTTTGAACTGCCAGCCTGCTGGTTAGTAGTCAAATGCCTTAAGCACTACACCTCCAGAGCTTCCATGTAGGGAAATAGGTTTTACCATTTCTACCCTCCACCAGGACTGGTTCCTTTGGATGTGCTGTGTGTCTTGATGGCAAACGATGATTAGTTACCCAAATGAGCCCATCACCAAGGTATCATTTTTTTTTGCATATAACCAATGTTCACCCATGCGTGGATAAGCCATATTAACACACTGAAGGACCCCGATGGAATGTTTAACACCCATTCTATACAGTTTCAAATTTCAGATCATCTCTGAATGTCCTTGTTCAAAAAACCAAGGTTTCACTTCCCAGGACTCTCATACAGAACTCCATTGTAAGGCTGTGTCCAGGATGGCTTCAAAGCGACTGGCTTTTAAATTAAGAATAGAGTTTCCTTGAAATTAAGGTTTAACTCTCTGGTGACAGTCAGAAAGGTAACTGAATATCATTAATGATTCTTTTGTACAATAAGAGGAGAACTCCACTTGAGAAACTGCAAATGAGTTTTAACACTTGGTAGTTTTGAGTACACAGTTTTGCCATTTGGGCTGAGACATTTTCCAGTTTGTCACTGTTAAAATGTTCTATATTAAATAAAGCTAGACTATTAGATTTAGAGGACTATATAGCACTCCGCATAAATGTGAATAGCCTGTTTTTGCAAATTATCTAAAAAATTACTAGTGGTACTAGTTCTAAAGTCTGTTCTAGCTGCTGACAGATGGTGAATGATGACACTATTTCTCTCTTTCAGAATGCATTAAGATATATGGATCTCCATATGCCAAAAATCCCAAGTTTGTTTCATGCGTTCAAAGTAAGTCTGTCTCCTTTCTATCTTCCTCTAAACACTACAGTTTAGGCTACTTCAGACTTTGTTGTAGTTTTCAGGGAGAGTCTTGAATATTTCCAATATTTTAAAGAGCTGTAGTATTTTCTTGAGGTCTGCATCCTTTTCAGTTAACTTTTTTTGAAAAAACAAGTAAATTTTGGGTTTTGAATTGGCAATAAGTTCACACAGTACAAATTTTTTTAAATTTCACAAGGGTTTAAATCAAATAGCACATCTCCCCCTGCCCTTACACATATTAGCTGTGGGTGCCCAGATATATCCATCTTCCTCTCCAGACCTCACCTGACTCAGCCCAGGTCTCAGACCCCCTCCCAGGCCCTCTCTCAGAAGCAATGACCTGATGAAAGGGATAGTAAAAGAATCCCTGCTGGTGCAGTGGTTAAAGGCTTAGCTGCTAACTGAAAGTTTGAGCCCACTAGAGGCTCTATGGGGAGCCCTCATAGTGTAATGCCTAAGGCACTTGACTGCTAACCAGAAGGCTGGCAGTTCAAACCCACCAGCCACTCCTCGGAAGGAAGGTGGGGCAATCTACTTCCGCAGTAATACTGCCTCGGAAACCCAAGGAGGGGTCACTATGAGTCAGGTCCGACTTGACAGCACATAACAACAACAACAACAACAGAGGCTCTGTGAGAAAAGACTTGACAATCCGCCCTATAAAGATTATAGCCTAGGAACCCTATGGGGCAGTTCTTCTCTTGGGCTGCCATGAGTCAGAATCGACTCAATGGCACTAAGCATCAATGGGAAAGTGGCATTGCTGTTACAGCCCAGGCTTCTGCTCTGACCAGTGGCTGACCTCACCATAGAAGGTGCTTGAACAATTTCTCTTAGAAAGATCAGCACTAGGCCGGTCCCCATGAGGCGGAGGTCAAAGATGTCCCAAATGTCCAAACTACCATGCCACTCCATCATTTCAGACATTAACTCCTCCTCCTCCTCCCAATAATTTCCCCAGTCTTAGGGTTCTGTACTTCGCTGTAATGCCTCACAGAACTCACAGACACCCAAGGGTTTGTCTCACGTAGTAGTGGTGGAGGCTGGCAGGCTGGCGAGTCCCAGGTCCGTGAGTAGGTCTGGCGGATCCTCCCAACTCTCGGGGTTTGACGAACCTCAATCAGCAGATCAGATGACGGCTGCTGTCCCAAATCCAGGGGTGAGATGAGGATGATCCAAGACACAAAGCCGGAGCAAGAGGAGAGCGAATCTTCCCAGGAGATTATACCCTCAGGGAAGCTAAGGGTGGTGATTTGAATTATACCCTCCAGCAAGGCAGGAAGAAAGCAACGTTAGGTGAGGTGGGGAAAAACTGTACAGTGGCACCAGCATTCTCCCCCACCCCTTCTTCACCAGATCCCCCAGAAAAGCGTAGCAATCTGTCGAGTGGTGATCCTCCCTTCGCCCCCCTCATGCTGAGTGTGAGCACACATTCATGAAGGCGTGTGAGCCAGCCCTTTAGGCCTTTACATCCCCCAGTTTTAGACAACAAATGTTTCAATTGCCCATTCCAGTTCTCTATCAAACCATTACTTTGAGGATGGTATGCAACATGGTATGTCCACTTAATATGATGTTTTTGGGCCCATTGCTGCACCCTACGGGATGTAAAGTGTGTTCCTTGGTCTGAGGAAATATAACTTGGTGGCCCAAATTGGTACAGTATCTTTTGTTCCAATCCTTTAATGGTGTTTTTGGCATTTGCATCTGTCACAGGATAAGCAAAGCCCAGTCCAGAGTAAGTATCTATTCCTGTGAGGACCCATTTATAGCCACCTGGAGCCACTGGTGTCATCGGTCCTATATAATCGACTTGCCAGCTGTGTGCAGGGCCTTCCCCCCGGGGAATCTGCCCCATAGCCATCTGTAACCTCTGTCTTTCCTGCTGACAGACAGAGCAGTCCTTATTGGCATTTTGTGCCTCAGAAGGTGCAAGAGGGATGTGCCTTGATTCAGCCCATCTCTGCATTGCTGCAGCACCCCCATGTCCACTCATCTCATGAACCCAATTGGCTACCTCAAGGGAGCGTACCAACATATCCACTTGCTGGTTCCAATCACCTTCTGATCCAGGAAGGGGATTCTTCTGATGGGCATCGACATGGCTTACTCTAATGCGCCCTCTGAACTCCCAGAGTGCTTTCCATAGGTCCTTGCCCCACACAGGGGTCCCCTTAATAGTACAATTGTCCATTGCCCATTTGCCTGACCATATAGCCAGGCCATTGGCGACTGCCCATGAATCAGTGAAAATCCAAACATATGGGCTCTCACCATTGCCCAATTCTTCCATGACAGCTAAGAAGACAGCGTGCAGTTCAGCCCATTGGGCTGACCTATTTTTACCTTCTTCAATAAGGGTCTTTCCATCTGCTGGTCTTAATGCAGCAGCTTTCCATGTCAGCTGTTGTCCATGTACCCTGGAGCTGCCATCTGTGAACCAAGCAGCCTTCTATTGATCCATAGATAGTTGTTCATATGGCACTGTCCATGTGGCAATGGGTTCTGGCAGCTCCTCAGGTGGTTCCAGCGTAGGACCTATAGAAAAGGAGGCTACCTGCTCATGGATACGATGGGTGCCTCCTTGCATCCCTCCAGTTGCTTGTTCTTGAATAAACCATTTCCATTTTATTATGGAACTATTTTGGGCACTACCTTCCTTATTAGAGTGTCTCTCTGACATCACCCAAGACATTATGGGTATCTCAGGTCTCATAATAATTTTATGCCCTTCTGTCATTGAAGCAGTCTCAATCAATGCCCAATAGCAGGCAAGCAATTGCCTCTCAAATGGTGTGTATCGTGCTGCAGCATCTGGAAATTTTCTAGTCCAAAATCCCAGTGGTCGTCGTAGGGCAGCATTCTCAGGTTTTTGCCATAAGCTCCAGTCTGCATAAGCACTTGTAGCAGACACCTCCAAGATCATGTCTGAATGTGGATCATAAGGACCTAAAGGCAAGGACAGTGAGACCGCTTTCTGTATTTTGGACATAGCCTGCTGTTGCTCCAACAGAATTAACCTAAATCCCATCACAGAGTTGATTGCCAGTCATTATAGGGAATGACTACTATCAGCTGCCCAGCCAAGTTGATACCTGACCTTAACTACCACAGCACCCCAAACAGGCATGGATAATGGAATTTACAAAACATCACAGAATGGAGGATAATGGCTAGAAGGGCCACATCAAGCAATTCACTGCAGAAGGCGACACAGAACATAACCTAGTTTCTGTTATTTTGGGCAAAGGTGCCTGTTAACTCAGAGAAGCCAGAACAGCCTTCTTGGATTAAGAAAGATAAGATGGTCTGGGCTCTTCCCTTCTGTCCCTGTGTAACCTGGAGCAAGCTCTTCCCTTTATGAGCCTTAGATTACCCAGCGGTCAGATTCATGACCTCTGTGGGGCATTTAGGCTCAGGCAGATGTGGAAGCATCCCCACCCCTTCAGCCAGTCATGTGTTCTTTGACTGTTTCGAGCAGGGTTTTTTTTTCCTAATTTGTTAAACCGTTCTCTTAAAAAATTGTGTAATTTAATTTATTAAATTATTTTAGTTTCTGGGTTTTAAAAAATTATCTAATATTTTATGTGATCCATCTGAATTTTTTTTGATGCAATGAATGAGGTAGAGATCTAGATCTATTCAGTTTTTTTCCAGATAACATCTCACTTGTTCTAACTCCGTTTATTTAATAAGCTATCTCATTCCTAGTGATTTGAAATGCCATCTTTGTCATATATGAAATCCCAGTGGGCATTTGATGGGTTTTCTGTTTACTTTCATGCTAAACATGCTCTAAGTTTATTCATACTCCGTTGGCACTGTTTTAATTCTGTAGTTTATAATGTGTTTTAATATGTGGTAAGACAGGTCCCCTCATTTATATATTTATGTTGTTATTTTCCTAACTCTTGCTTATTTTTTATATGAACTCTGGAATCATCATGTCTACTTCTAAAAAAAATCTTTTTGATATTTCTAATTGGGCTTATGATTAGTATATTGATTAATACATCTAAATGATGCTGAGTCTTCTTTAGCTAGAGAGGATTACTTTCTACTTATAAAAGCCTTCTCATTTGGTCTCTTTGAGTAAGCCTTCTCATTTGGTCTCTTTGAGTAGTTAAAGGTTTTTTTTTTTCATATAAGCCGTGCACTTCCCTTGTTAAGTTTATTTCTGGACATTTTATTGCTATAGGAAATAAGGTCATTTCTTCCATTCTGTCTTCTAACTTTTTGTATATGTGAAAATTATTGATTTCTGCATATTAATGTCTATGCCCAGTTACCTATTGAGTTACTTTATTCTTAGTAATAGTTTTCAATTGATTGTTTCGTGACTGCTAGGCATAAAAATCATACCATTTACAAATAATGCTAATTAAACTTCTTTTCCCGCTGTTGCACTTTTTACTTCTTTGATCTAATTCCATTGGCTGGTGCCACCATAGCAATGTTAAATAATAGTGGATATTGTGGACATTCTGGCATTCCCAAATTGAACAGAAGTACTTTTAGTGTCTGTTAGTACTTTAGTGTACTAATCTTTGTAGTATCTTTAATCTTTCTTACGTAAAGAAAAAGAAAAAAGAACACTTATTAAGTACTTTTCCCAACATATTTCCCAAAATATTTCAAGGCGTTTGCTTACTTGTTCAGATAAACTAGTTCATGCGAGTGTTGCTTGGTAGAAAAGCCCTGACTGGGATTCCAGAGCCATGGGTCTGGTTTCTTTTCTGTCACTAACCAGCTGTGTGTCCTTGAGCAAATCCCTTTGCCTTCATAGCATCATTTCTGCTTCTGTAGAATGAGGGAATTAAGAGTTCTTGTCATGCTGTATTCCAGCGCCATATGGCATGTACTGTTGTGTTCTCTGGGCTTAGTGCAGTACTGGCCACATACTGAACACCCCGTAAAGGTTGGTCAAATGAATGAATGAGTATATTCAATGAATGGTGTTTTTCTTT